ATGTGGTAACCCCCGACGAGATCTTACTGATGGTGGAGTCGAAACTTCAAATCCGAATTGTTGCGGGTGATCAGAAGTGGGTGTCGACAAAGGGAATATGGTAACCCCCAAAGGATTTTACTGATGGTGGAGTCAAAACTTCAAACGCGAATTGCGAGTGCACGGTAAGTGAGAAAATGGTACCGACAAAGTGAACGTGGTAGCTTTCGGCAAGATCTTATTGATGGTGGAGTCAATATTGGCTAATAAAACACTGATCTGCCACACAAAAATGCGCTGAAGTCCCTTCGATCTCACACGAGGACTTTGATCATTTTTTAAGTACCTACTAGTTTTTTTTAAATACCTATAGAATTATAAAAACGCAGAATTTACTTCTTTGTTGTATCTAAAAAAATTATCCCACCAGTGGTTTCAATTTATTCGGCGTTGAATTTAACTTTAGGTACTCCAATTTAATCAACATTAGCTTTTAACATACGATATCCCATCGCCAGGCTTTTAGACCCATGCAAACATAAGGACCAGACAAATTTGCGTAACATATTTAAGCGACATTTACTCATGATTGAAAGCAAGGATCATACTACATGATCTTTGGTGAAAGGTAATACGTAATATCATTGTATTTATTTATAAATCTTACAGCAAGTGAGGGCGTAGTACCTAACCAATATTATTATATGGCAAGTGTTTATCAGTTATCATATTTTTTGCTTAGGGTTGCCAAATTTCATGTTAGGATCTTTCATCAGAGTTATTTTTCTCTGACGATAGCCTTTAATTTACTCTTTTGATTTTACCAAAATTTACCAATTATTCAATTTTCACAAGAGTGTTTTAGAAATTGCAGTCAAACTCATTTACTTTAGTAGTTTACCTTTATAATTAAAATAATAAAAATGGCGTTTTAGTAAAGCGTTCTTTTGTCCAGATTTTATCAGATATCAGATATCATTATAAGTTATAAGTAGTAATCCATCCAAAACCGATTGTTGTCTGAAAGACACTCTCGTGAAAATTGAATCATTAAGTCTTATATTTAAAATGTAATATAGAAATTCATAGTAAATTCTTTATTAAAAAATCTAAAAATACAATTTGACCTCTACGTTGAAAACAAAGTCCTCTTATTAGAAAATAATGTCTTAGTCTAAACCTCCCACTTCTTAACTACTAGTTTTTTTTTAAATACCTACAGAATTATAAAACCGCAGAATTTACTTTTTTGTTGTAACTAAAAAAATTATCCCACCAGTGGTTTCAATTTATTCGGCTTTGAATTTAACTTTAGGAACCCAAATTTGATCAACATTAGCTTTTAACATACGAGATCCCATCGCCAGGCTTTTAGACCCATGCAACTAGGGAATGCAATACCGGGATCCCACAGCATTTTTGCGGGATTAATCCCGCACATAAATGGAGCGGGATCCCGCGGGATTTGCGGGACTGAGGAATTTCTCGACCAAGGGGACGACTCTGTTTAATTTGTTAATGAAACGCATAACGGAGAAGTTATTCTTTAAATAATTGTTGTTAACCTTTTTTCACTTATAATTGCACAAGAGGTTGTATTTTACCGAATAAATTTGGGTTGTTAAGGTAATGAAAATCTGTTGCCTAGCAATTAGACGAGAAAAAACTGTCAACTATAAAAATGCGACACCGAAGGTGGAGCATTTTTAGGTTGACAGTTTTTCGAGTTCAATTGCTAAAAGGAAACAGATTTGAATTGCAACAACCCAAATTTACTCGTTTAAATATAAACCTCGAGTGTAATTCGGCAGGACAATTTAACTAACAAGAAATTCACCAAACTAGTCAATTATTGACAGACGTCAAGCTAATCATATGGGAAAGGATAATGCGATAATTGTTCCAAAATGAAAAGTGAAAAAACCACTAGTGCATTTGTCGCTGGAAAAGTTGCAGGTAACTTTTGCCGCTGTCAAAGTGACAATTGCACTGCGGCTTATGCGATTTTTTATACATGAGTTGAATTGTCGTTAAAAATGTACTATGATTTTTGAGGCACTTTAGAAGTTCACCTTTTTGAGCTTGACAGGTGAGGTTTCTTTGAGTTCTAAGTTAGGCTGAAGGTACCTACTTTTTTGTTAAATATTGTGATAATTAGCCATTTATCTTAATACAGAAGTTAACCGCACAGAATTGCTTATTTGCCAATTTATTTAAAGTTTTGTGGGATCCCGCAAATACCGGGATCCACTGCGGGATCCCGCGGGATTAACATCTAACAATCCCGCAAATACCGGGATTGAGATTTTGCTGCGGGATTGCATTCCCTACATGCAACCATAAGGACTAGACAAATTTGCGTAACATCTTTAAGCAACATTAACTCATGATAGTAAGGATCATACTACATGATCTTTGATGAAGGGTAATACATAATATCATTGTATTTATTTATAAATATTGTAACGTGATTTATAAATTCGGGTTCGATTTATATCAATATTTATTAAACAAAACTAAAACACTATAAAAACTGTACAATTTATATCGACTATTTATATCACACACTTCGCAATTTATATTTCCGCGCTCGATGTTTCATCCGTACTCGATCTCGTTCGGTAGTAAAAACTGCTTGCGATGTTCGGTCCGCAACCATTTATACACGCAAGCAATGTAAGTCAAGAACACTCGCGTAATTACCGGATAAGTCTGGAATATTCCTATACAAATCCCACTATCGCGCGCGTAGAAAATTCCAGAGCGCCAAAGGCGACGCCATGTCTGGAGCGTTTCCGTTACAATATTAATGAGACTTTACAGCAAGTGAGGGCGTAGTAACCAATATTTCTTCATTTTATGTGGAAGCAGCGGCTACAAAACGGTTTTCCGGCGCACCAACTAATTGTTATTGTACGCTAATGTTTGTTCCAATATGAACACTAATTTCATATTGTCGACGATAATCGTGAAAGTGGCTACCAATCTCAACATTCAAACTTAATTCTTTTACGTTTCTATTTTGTTGAATCCATTTCGTTTATCAGGATACAATGAAAATGGCAATTTTGCAACGTTTGCAATCTGCGGAACTCAATGATACACACAGTAACTCAATACAAAGGCCGGAAATTCATTAAACGATAGTCTTTTTAATATACTTGAATCCAAATACGCGAATCTTCTCCCTTGATGAATGATAAATCTCACTGCCAACCCCAAATAATCCCAATTTGGAAACTGTTTGCACTTCAGACTAAATTCCAAATTAATCATTCACTTTTTTATTAATGAAATGGACCTACTGGACGCTTTTGTAGCCGCGAATTAATAAACACTTTTTTTCTATTTCGGTGTCACAATGATGATTTTGTACAACTGTTTTCGCCGAAAACAGTTGTACAAAGACAGTGATTATAGTCGTTTTTTTTTTGGTAACTCATCTCTTAAGTTGGCAGTTACTAGTTAGTACAAGTAGGTACTTCGTTGGGTACTTCCAAGGATACTATATAATATAATCCTTGGGGTACTTCCATGTTTGAACTTCAAAATGTCAGTCTTACTACGCTGCCAACCTAAAACTTAACGGCATAAAAAGTGTTCCCAACATAAAACATGTTAGTTCTAATCATTGAATTTATAACTATCTAAATTCAATGGTTCTAATGCTCCCTATAGTTTCTGATTTTTTTAATTAAATCAAAGCACCGAAATAGAAAAAATAGTATGAAAAACGCGTGTTACAATGCTTTATTGTAATACTCCTATCTTGCGGACACTCGTGGCTACGCTTCGCGTCGCCACTCGTGCCACAAGATAGTCGTATTACAATAGGTCGCATTGTAACACTTGTCTTTCAATATACTATTTTATTATACCTGAATCACAATCTCCGTTTTAAACACTCAAATGCGTGCGAAAAAAGGCCTTTAAAACACACGTGCTTTAAAGTTGCTAAGTAACGATACTTCAAGTATGACTTTTGAAACTGTCATCTGGGGTTGAAATAAAAAATCCTCTTAGGTCGCTTTCTGTAAATGCAGAACATTGCTTTGGCTTGTACCTATCCTTTGGTTGAAGCTTCCACAAACGCGCTCAATTTAGGGTATGCTTCCAAATCTGTTCCACTTTTTAGTCGCAGCAATGTTTGAAGTTTTGAATTCACCAAAGACGATGATTTTTATAAGCAAACGTCAAGTGATGATTTTCATGGCAATCGTGAAATTACGAACACCAAGCCCACTTAATTAGATATGTATTCGAGTATAACGTCAATATGATTTCATTGTATTTCCTATTTTTAAATTATACTGCAGGTATAATAAAAAATACTATAAGATACACGTGTATAATTGGTCTTTAAAGCACTTGTAACGTTAAAGGCACTCCGCTTTGCGTCGTGCCCTTAAACTCGTTGCGCGTGCTTTAAAGACTTGATTATACACTTGTATCTTAATATACTATTTTAAGACTAGGTCCTTATAAGATCGTTTTGAAAAGTCGCTAACTACACAAAATTGTTAACTGATGCGAGCTGGGATCTGTATACTCGTATTCGATAACTCATGATTTTTTGGATCTCCAATAACCACTACTGCAAGCACTCGTGGTCATTTGCACTAGTGGTTATTGATGGTTCAAAAACCATTCGTTCTCTCTGCTTGAAAAAATTTCCAGCAATTACATGACCACTCGTGTTATTACTTATGAAAGTAAAAAAGAACAATTTTAACTTTTCTTTAGGTATTTAATATACACTCACGATCTTGAACTAAAAATCAAATGAAACAAAATAATAGAATCAGAGAGGCTCGTAGTCATCGTTACGCACCCATTAGAACCATTCGTCCTCACACAACCACTACCAACTATATAAGTAGCATAATTTAATGAAACACCTTGTGTAACAATAGGTTACGTCAATCGTACACGATCTTATTACAGTTATATTTCGCAGCGCAGTTTAAGCAATTTATCCCAATTAAAATAAATTGGGTTTTATATTCGTCTTGTATAACGGAAATTTTTGGTTTGTGTATTAACAGTATACTGTGCATGAAAACATGGGTGGCGCAGTTATAGTGTTGTTTTTTATTGCGTTCTTCTATTTGGTTTATAAAAATATTGCTAAAGCGAATCAGTATTGGAAGGTCAGAGGTGTACCTTATGTGAGCCCCAGATTTTTTTTTGGAAATTTTGCAAGTAACATTTTTCAAAAAGCTTCATTCGGCGATGTGCTGCGTACAATTTACCTTGCCTTTCCCACTGAGAGGTTGGTAATGGTAACGTTTTGGCGTGTTACATTTTGGCTTTAGGTTTGTGGGACTTTACCAGTTTACCCAGCCGGTGTTGATGGTTCGTGATCCAGAACTTATCAAGAGAATTACTGTGAAAGATTTTGAATACTTTTCGGATCACACGCAGTACATTGCTCCAGACGTAGATCCCTTATGGGGAAGAAACTTGTTTTCTTTATCAGGTGAAATTACCACACCCAACAAAAGCCACTTAGTATCCATAAAAATACGGTATTCTTTTAGTCAAAGACGGTTGGCACGACATGAGAACAATGCTTAGCCCTACTTTTACGAGCAGCAAAATGCGAATTATATTTTCTCTAATGCAGGAATGTGTAAAAGAGTTTGTGAGCTACCTTAACACCAAGGGAGATACAATGACGCTCGAATTAAAGGACACATTTTCGAGAGTGGCGAACGACATTATCGGAACAACGGCTTTCGGTGTCGAATGTAATTCACTAAAAAACCGACACAACGAATTTTACATGATGGGAAAGCAGATTACTAGTTTCTCTGGAATTAGGGGATTAAAATTCTTCGCATACGCCACTCTTCCAAAATTAATGAAGTATTTAAATGTGAAATTGATTTCAACAACCGCAGCCAAATTTTTCACTGACGTCATCACTGATACGTTACGTTATCGGGAAAAGAACAACGTTATTCGACCAGATATGCTTTATCTGCTAACAGAAGTTAGAAAAGAACGTATGGCACAAGGGGAGAATTCGGCTAATGTTAAGCACCACAAAATTGAGTTGACCGATGATCTCATAACGGCCCAAGCGATGATATTCTTCTTTGCCGGTTTCGATACGGTTTCTACGGCTTTAAGCCTAATGTTTTACGAATTAGCGATCAACTCTCAAATTCAAGATGAACTATTCGCAGAAATAAGGCAAACCGTCGGTGAACAAATTACATACGAAAAGCTTCTATCGATGAAATTTTTAGATTGCGTTGTTTCAGGTAATTTGGGCAATTTGCCGAATGCCATTGCCAGTACTTAGCCCATTTGTTTAGAATCTTTGAGACTACATCCGCCCGGGATATTTATGGATCGAAGATGCGTAAAGCCGTACGTTATAGAGCCGGAAAAGGCGCGCGATCCTACGGTGCGTCTCGAAAAGGGCGATCTCATTTGGATACCGATCCGTGAGCTTCATAGGGATCCGAATAACTATCCCGAACCGAAGAAATTTGATCCGGGTCGCTTTTCGAGTGCGAACAAAGATCAAATTAATCCGTTCACCTTTTTACCTTTCGGATTGGGGCCGCGAAACTGTATAGGTGAGTTTGAAGAGTGTCGGCAAGCTAAAGGCGTCTTTAGCTTCCAGGTTTGCACTACTCGAGTGTAAATTGGTGCTTGTGGAGGTGCTAAAGCAGTATGAGGTTGTTCCGGTGAGCAAAACGGAAATACCTTTAACTCTCAGCAAGAAGAGTCCTATTCCTTTACCTGAAAATGGAGTCTGGGTTGGTTTTAACCGTAGGGTAGAGGACAACCGGTACTCTAACGAGTGAGGAATGATGAAAAGACAGTATTGCCTTAATTTTCGTATTAATTTTTTATTTAAATTGAAAAATACAGTTTTTGTGGCGCTTTTTTCCTATTTCTGATGGAAAAAAAGCGATCTCATTAGGTGGCAGGATCTTTGTGTGTTCCTTGTTTGACGCTTTTCATTATTGTTAGCAATGTTAACTTTTTTCTTTTAAAGACTGATAGTTTTTCTTTAGAAGGATGAATGAAATGTGAGGAGAAACCGAACTATGAGATGTGTAAGGGTAAAATCGTTGGTAGGCCATTTTTAAAACATTCTTGGTATATTGGCCCGGTGACTATTCCTATGACTACAGTGTAACGATTTGTAGGAGTTCATATGGTCATTAAGTTGTAAACGAATTGTACTCTCCAAACTAAAATTACACATACCGCTTATGAGTAGGAGACGAAAATAACCCAATGCATTATCTAATTAACGTGTTTTGTCATTCATTTAAAGGACTAAAGTGCAACTTTTACTCCAGAGCAGCTTAAAAGTAAATGAAGTATGAAAAAACATAATTTAGTTAGCTGAATTTCAGTGGGAAAGCACAACCTTTTTTCTTTCGGGCTTTCATGAATATAAGGATTCTTATTGGCACAATAAAAAACATGGTGGACTTAATTACTACTACTTGCTTTAAAGGTACTCGGTGATTCTTGCATTTATTTCTGCATAATTATATTGTTAAAACCTTAAAACTAATTTGCCCTATATTATTGTACCGTAACAATACACGGGGGCCCTTTAAAAGGAGTTGGTTTTTTAAATGTATTTAGAGTTGCGTATTTTTTAAGTTTGGTAGTGAAAAGGGCACAGGGTGTCAAAATTAAAATTTCTTTAAAAAAGTCCGTTAGTTTTTGTAAAACTGGCAATCATTGTTTAATGCGGCTTTGAATTCCATTACAGGAATTGAATCGGGTTAATTCTTATCATAAAAATGTCCGATTTCATTAATAAATCCCCATTTTGGGGCATTAATTAATTGAAAAAGATAGGTAAGGTTTAATCCGGAGGAGATTTTGAAGGCATTCCCTTATGAGCCAGCGTAGCGCTGAATGTGAATAATCAAGCGATAAACATTTCGATGTTGGCTGTCGTAGAATTCAAGTCTATATTGGGTTCTTCATACCCCTACAACGTCAAGTGCGACGACTTTCGCTAGCAAGTCCTCGCACAATTTACATGAAAAATGAAGTGAGCCTTGGCGGAGTTTAATTAAAAAAAAAATGTTAGCGGACGAAAGTAGCGGCAGTCGGTGGAACCTAGTTGTGCTGTGGGTGGAACGGAAGGACGGGCGTACGGACAGACGGTCTCGAGCGCTATCAGCGTTTTGCGGGACGGTCCCGGAGGCCTCGGTCAAACTCGATCAGAGTAAATGGCAACTCCAAGAATCGGTCGAGTGCAGCAAATGGGGGCGGGCACTTCTGAAAAACTAAAACAAAATTATGGCAAACTCCCTCATGAGAATAATAGCACCAAAATTAATTATCGGTGTCTACGGGAAAGCGAAACAATATTCCCCTTTATAATTAATGGGACAGGAAGTAACAAATATCTTGCGTTGCAATAAAACGAAGCCGTAGAAATTACTGTGCAATAAAAAGCAAAAGCTGTATAAACGGTTCAGTAAACTTAATGTAAATGCAGAAATTAAACGGTCTGAATGCAAAATAAATTTACGGAAAAGCTCAAAATTACGGTACTTATGCAACGTCACTTCGACAAAGCAAAAGGCAAAAGATAAAATTACTATTCGGTTAACCACCTACAATACGCCTACAATACCTATAGAGATGAACGAAGCTCCAAAACGGGATTTTGTGTAGAATGTAAATGGGACGATACATCGAAAACGGTATAAAGTAAAAATGGGTAAATTTAGAAACAAAATGTATTTTTCTGTCTAGAAGAATAAGGAGAGAATGAAGGGTAAACAGATAAAAAAATGCTATAACCATTTAAGTAATATTTATTAAATGTCATTGCGTTTTATTTTGTTTCGTGGATTTTCAAGATGATATGGACATGCATTATGACTAAAATGTACGTGTTTTCATACTGGTTCATTGCATGCAAACGGAAACACACCGCTTCCTTTAAATTTTTGAAAACATCAAAATGTACAACTCCAGTGGAAAGCGTCAGCTAATTTAATAATAATAATAATTAATTGGTGTATCGACTTCTAAATTTTTTGTTTGATTTCAAATTTCCTGATTAATAATAATAATAATTAAACCCAGCCTGATACGATTAACACAAATATATTGATAAATAAAGCAAATATCACAATCCAGCTCGTTTACAACTATCTTTTTATACTTATCTGGATTAGTTTTTCTACCCCTAACATTTTGTCACACTTTTTTAATTCGCGGCCATTCTCTTGCCTTCTCCTGATTTTTTATAATAACGTACAAATCTCGGGACAAATCAAAATTATCCTTCTATTTCCCTATTTTAAATTAATGTATTCGGACCCAATTACATGGCTAATTTTACTGAATAAAAAACATCGGAATTTTGATGAAAATTACATCTTACTATTGAATGCTTGAATTTGCATCCCTGTTAATAGCCCCTATATCCTAAAAATATATTGCACATATTTCCTGAACGTTTTCATAAGCCAATCTACACAAATGGGCTACAAAATTCGAATTACTATTTTACACCATCGACATTTTTTTCTATTATGATTTAGATTATGAAACGGATGAAAACAAGACAATTTCATTTGTACAAATAGAAATTGAAAATTGAACGATAATTTTCGTAAAATAATGTACTGTAACTATAGAGGGTGGGCCATTAGTGTGTGGGTGGAAGATTATGGGTTTATTAACGCACATATTTAAAATTCCTTGTCGAGGCATATTGAAAGACTCTTTAAGGCTACAACCTAAAAATATTTTCAACGAAGTTGCAATTGTTATACCTACAGGCTGATTTATAGTTGCATTTTTTTAACATGCTGTGCCGTGACTCGGCAGTACTACTAATCATGAAATGTAAAGACATACGCCGAACGGCTAAAGTTGTACTTCTTTTGTGTTAAAAAATCACTCCGTCAATTTTCAAAATTTCAATGAAAAATGACTTTTTTAAATGGAACAACCAAGTCTTTTTTATTGCATGAAATGTGGAATTTTATTACCTTTCTAACGATATTAATTTTTTATCGGGAGCTAATTAATTGTTCTTATAGTGCGTACACACAACAAAAAATATTTGTTGGGTGAGCGGCCTAATTTATTTAGGCTTTCCTGAAACCTGGATTTCTTTCTTGAAATGAAACACTTTACTTTTCCAGCGTGACTAATCCAAATTCGAGTAGGAATTTCACCAATCGTTTTACAAATCCTTATCACATTGACGAAATCTTATAACGAAAAGAAACTATATTTAGACATCCGGAATCCATTAATAAAACAATACTCTACAGAAATTAAAAGATGCAAAAAGGACAATGTTCTATTCCACCGAATGCTTACAGATTATTCTTACAAGTCACTAGTCACATAATTTATTGGAAAATCATCCCTTTAAATTTGGACACCTTGTAATTTTTCTATGATTTTCTTCTATTTATGTATTATTGAAGTCTGGTGGTGACCAAAATAGCGAAAAGATTACAAAAAATCTATGAGTACATAATACGAAACGCACGGGCATTTTCTGTACTAAAAATTCACTTAAAGTAGTTAGAGCGCCTAGGTAAAGTAACAAGAAGTTGGTGAAAATGTGGTCACTTATTCTCTGAGAGACACACTTTCCAATGGTCAAAAGAAAAAAGTGTTCCTATGTACCGTTTCTGAGATATTTGACAGTAAAAACAGGGTATTTTAACATGGGCTCTTATGGACAGACTCAGTTTTTCTGAGCTAGAGAAGGTTTTTGTATCAAGACTTAAATGAGATGGGTCTCATTAGAAGCGAAATTTTGTGACGAATCTAAATTTGCACGGAAAAGTACATGTTCATGATGAAATAAGGAAGATATTTACCGCCGAAGCGGCGTCTGCTTTGGCGCGGCGGCGCGCTAATCAGCACGCGTTTTAATCTGATGACTTTTCCACTAGGTCTAGTATATAGCTGAGCTAGGACAATCTTTTCCTTCTTCTGCTGAGCACTTTTCTTCACCAAAGGCATGGTGTCTTTCAGAAAGAACACCAAAACCAGCGATATTTATAAAGGCCTGCACACGTCTTGTTGACACACTGATCGGATCGAGATCAAGATAGCGGCTGGGGATCTCTGGCGCCAACATCGAAAAACCAAATCCACTACACCGACTTCACGTAAAACGCCAAATTATTTAGTTTCCCGGCTTTTAAATACGTCTCGCATACGTTTTGATTAAAAATAAATATATTCGTTTAGGATGTACCGCTTACACTGTGAATATTTAGTCGCGGTGTGTCGTCAACATTTAGTGTGCAAAGGTTTGAAACAGGGTCGAAAAGTAGGGAGACTAGTCAAGTTGACTACTGTATATACCTTTTTAAAAATTATGTGTAACGTTTGCATTGTGCTGAGGTACAAAATACCACTCATACCGTATTTCTAATTATGTTTCCTTCATAACAACATTTTTTTGGGGACGTTTACCGTAAGTAATAGGTAGGCCGAGTACATCACTTGACTTCAGCCGAACGCGCTCTAACTACTTTAAGTTTGACATAAGTGTAAGTGATTAATCTTTTGTACTACTACTCGCGTCATACTTACTTTATTTTTATCAACAGAATATCACCTACTTTGTACCTAATACTGTAGTGGACATTTTAAGACATATTCTAAAAAGTGTTTGTGCCACCAACGCATGAATGCTTGATGCTTCCGTCCGTCAAATAAAGGATCTTTGGTCAGATGTAATACAATTTCTTTTTATAGTAATACTTCGATTGTACCTCGCAATACATTTCGTTGATTTTATTTATCTAGTTTATTAGAACCAGATCTCCGTATTTGCTTCCTCTTTTTCTGCTTCACTTGTTTAGTTCTGTTTTAAAATAAGGGATATTTGCAGTTTTTGACAAACAAAGCAAACTGCGTTTATCAAACCCGCATAGGTACAAATTTGTAAAATTGTTAGATACGCGTTTCAAAGGAAACTTTGCTAACATCGTCGTAAACGAATATATTTCGATCCAGGTTTTCATATCAGTGAAGGAGAAAGTACAGTATACTTACATAACTTCCACATTTAGATTCCTTTTTGAAAATTAAGGTCAATTTACCGGACAATATCTATGAACATCTTGTACCGTTTTGCAGAAAAAAATTGACAGATATAACGGGTACTTTGACGCTTTGTTCCTCAGTGACTTTAGACGTAAAACAATAAAATGTTGGGGGTACCTATAAAAAATGGTGGTTATTCGCATAATCGCAATGATTTTTCATAAAAGTTTACGGGGTCTTCACAAATGATAAGCAGCAGTGTCCCTTCTTTTATTTCAGATATTAATTCTAGACAAAATTTTCATTCGATTGATATGACATTGTTCCATACATAAAATTGATGATTTTCAAGTTATTTACACTTTTCTTAATAAAATAATTTTTAATACAAATCATGATTGCCTTATGATCGTATCTAATTGTAGACTACTTGTTTAATGTGTTATGTGTCCCCACAAGAAAAAGTCAAAGTCGGCAAATGCATAGATCTAGGGGCCAGGGGGTCACATGTGTGGACTACGTTATCATTGTAGGCTGGAGCGCCATCTTGTTGACACCATACTTTCATCAGCTGTTCAAGAGGCAAATCCATAGCTGTATTCAAAATGTAGAGGCATCGAACCCCGTTTAAATTTTCTTCATAAATGACAGTAAATAAAACTTGGTCGTCTTTCAAAGCGCTGAAGACAATGAAGCTCCACGTATCTTGGAAATCTTCACGTTCTTATGGAATTCGCCATAAATTTTGATTAAGTTCAAGTAATCTTGGGATTAACCGAACCTAACACTTTTCCTTCCGGAGACAGGAAAAAAAAAGTAAAATCTGCTCTAGCGATTATGTCAAACTTTGGTGCCTACTACCCAGCCGAACAATGCCCTATTTTATCTTATTTGGTCAAGTTTTTGTCTCTCCCTACGTCGGTATAACGTAGTCTTCCGACCTTTTGGGTAATTTCTCTTTTTCGTTCACTTTATTCGTTTGTTGAGGTACTTTCAATGTGATGCTTATTTCCTTTTTTTAAGTTGTTGTCATACACACCTGTGCTGGCGAGAGCTTAATTTCCAGAATTCCAAAATTAGATTCTCGTCATTTTTAAACTCAATATCCTCGAAACAAATATCCTGCGATCATCAAGTTTGTTCTCAAATCATTGGCAAATAGGCTTTCACCCAATACTAACAGCCATTCATAGACATTTTAATAACGGGCAATTAAAAAAGGATTGACATCGAGTCCCCTTTGGAAGTTCAAGTTAAATATGATTTCCCAAAGTGAATGATACTTAGGTATATCGAAATCGGTGTAACTGAAAGATTGGGAAATTTAAAAGCAATATGTGATTTTTCACTGTTTTATAGATTTTCAAAATGCAATTTTTTTCCTAAATGTAAGCTTTCCTTGTATGCAAAAGTAAATAGTCGTTCATTTAATTCTTCGGAGAAAGAAACCAAAACCTATAATTCTAGCCGAAAGTGTCATCCAGCAGTTACGAATATTCATAATTTGTTTCTAACAAGGTTACCTCATATTTAATTTCTGCATAATCCCAAGAACAATTTTCTTTAGTACCATGTCTGCCTTATACATACTGTTCAACACATTCTTTGCTTTTTTTTTAAATTTTCCTTATAAACCGGTGTTTTATATTATTCAACAGAAACCTTTACATTAAAAAAACATGCAGTAGATATGTTGTGTAACTAAAAAAATCTATATCGTACCTAAGATTTTATTTTCAAAAAGTGAAACCCCCAGGAACAGACCTTTGTTGAGAAACGGAATAGCAAATAACTGTTATATGATAAATTTGTTCACAAAGTGGACATTTACATATTTACAAAGTATACATTACTCCATACATTTGAGGCACTTCGTAGAGTCCTTTAGTAGTTCTCCCTAATGGGAATTCTCCATACGCTAATGTCCACCTGTTCACTAACCGAAATTTGAAGGTGAAAATATTCCCGATGCGAATGATTTCGCTGCGAATTGCCCGGATGCGAAATATATAGGGGAGTACGATCTACAAAGATGTACATTATTCCATACCTTAATTAAGGGTAGTTCAAGTAGCACCCTTATAGACCATGTACTTACTACTTAATCATGCTATATCTGATCTGGGCATCATTTTTATTCAGCTTAATTTAATGTATTCTTTCAGGAAACCCCCCGTTTTGAAATGTAGATATTTCAGGTTGTTTACACATGATTTAGTAAGCACTGATTAAATGAGATCAGTTGGAAAATTGATCAAAAATCCATAATTCTTATGGTTTTGTTTTATATTCAAAGGGGAGTTGTAATTTTGGTTTTGTGTTCAATTTATGAGGGGAAATGTGTAAACATCATGTAGACGTTATTTCGGTTTAAATACCAAAAATATTGATAGGATACCCTGTATGTGAGAAATATTTCAATTTTTAGCGCATTTTTAAGAATTAAAAAAATGTGATTGTATTGATTAGATTTGATTTATTTTGTATTAGTTCGTATTACATCCACGAGCAGGATTCTAATTTGCAATGACTACATTATAATTGGTTCTTATACACTGTCCAATTTTCTATGAGCTATCACCTTCTTATAGTATTTAGCGGATTCTTTCGCTGTTCTTGTTCTATTAGGATCGTTAAAATCAACGTGGTATAAACCAAATTTTTGCCTAAAAGTAGCATTATCCTTCCGAAATCCCTCAGTGGCTAACACTTACGTGTATCCGTTATCCCACTCGAAGTTATCCATCAAACTCCATGCTGCATAGGCGATGACATCCGCTTCATCCTCTTTTATAGCCGCCAAAAGCTGCCGAAGGTATTTCTAAAGATGATGCCATGTTCAAAGTGCGATTATTAAATTTGACGAAATACCTGATAGTAATTCACCCTGTCGTAATCTTCCAATTCTCCACGGTCGGCGTAGCCATTCTCGGATATGACAATTTTGGGATTGTTGTATTCACTTTTAACCCAGTTTAATATTTTTCGTATGGACGAAGGCTCAACTTTCAACCAATCGGCATTAGAGTCAGGCCAAGCTGGATCGGTTGAAAGTTGAATTCGCGCGTCCTTGAAATAATCGGGAGCCGAAAACGCCGCTTCGGGAACGTTTTGCACCTGGTGCGTTGTGTAAATATTCAAACAAATAAAGTCGCATGAATTCTTGATGAGGAGTTTTTCTTTCGCGGAAAATTCGGGCAGACGTGACTTCGGGTAGCCTTCGCCCGCACTTCTAAACGCGATACGCTCCTTCATGATTTGAGGATAATCTCCTGAACCGATGATCGGGTTAAATAACCATCCATACTGAAAGCTACAGTTTCACTATTCGGATATTTGTACAAAAATTACAAACTATGAATTGTCTTGCTCTTTCGGCTGCGAGTAAGTCTTCAGTGCTGTTCGTCTTAGCCTCATACCACACGACGTCGATTCCCACGATTCCTACTTTACCTATTAAAGATATTCTTGTTAAATGCAGCTGCACGTGGTGGATTTACCTTGTTGAACGCCTTTGTAGTCCTTCTCGTACATGCGGTAGGTCTTCGCATGGGCTAAGAGTACAACATGTCCATACATATAATCAGAAATTCCGGATTGATTGAGAGCCGGAGGAATTTTGTCGCTTCTATACCCCCGCGCGTCCGTATTAAACGTAATCCAGTACGGAACTCGATCACCAAAGTTCGCAAAAGCAACCCTTGCGTAATCCACAAATAGATCTGACATAACGGGATTAGTCCAACCGCCGATGTCGGCTAAAGTTACCGGTAGGTCCCAGTGATACAAAGTGACCATGGGTTTTATACCGTTCGCGACTAACTCGTTAATTAACTCGTTGTAATAGCGTAACCCATCGGGGTTTACATGGTCTGCGTATCCAAGTGGTAGCAACCTGGGCCAGGACAACGAGAATCTATAGAAATCGACACCGAGCTCCTTCAGCATGGCAACATCTTCTTTGATTTTGTTATAGGAATCGCACGCAATATCACCACTTGATCCGTCAAGAATTCTCGTTGGAATTTCGTGAGTGAATCGGTCCCATTCACTTTCACCCTTGCCTGAAAATGTAACCGTAATATACAATCACTTGTACGATTGCTGTAATTTACCACTAACATTCCATGCTCCCTCAATTTGATACGACGATGTTGCTACGCCAAATAGAAAATCTGAAGGAAAACCATCCTCTTTGGAGGGATTCCTAAATGACAATTGAAAAACCGAGTTTTTTTATTAAAGATCATTACGGTTTAGGGAAATTATTTGTATGGAAGTCATTCTAAAGGTCACTCCCTAGAATTGACATGGAAATCGGCATTAGGACCGTAGCTTTGCAGTGAACGATTTTTATGCAACTCTTGAACGCGGATGTGGTGTTTTTCGTCAACTAGTCGTTACATTTTGCAACAATTAATGTTAGGTCTAGAGACCCTACGAAAACGCGAACTAGAATTGGTAAATCTGCATACTAGGTGTAAAATGAAGACCACACTGGTGTTAACCAACTAACGATAGAATATTCTGCCTCAAAATTTAGGTTGCCGTCCCAAAAAAGCAACATATCCGGGTTAGGAAAACAAACTGTGGCTATGGCTAAAATACTTACATACTATCAACTACGATAACGATTATCAAATACAAGAGCACGGTTCTCATCCTGAAGGTACCCGTCTCTGCCAGTTAAAACAGTGAATTTATCATTGGTATTCTTATCAGAGACCTAAAATGATATGAAGTTGCTGTATAGGCATGTACTTTTATAATTAAATTCCTAATATAATTTAGTTTAAGTACTTCTGAAGTAGATACATTTTTAAAATAGGAGACTAATTCAAAATGATTCTTTTTTAAATTAATACCATTGAACTTATCGATGTCATAATTAAAACTGATTGCGACTTAACTTTTAAATTGATAAACGTTAATTTAAGATAACAAAATGCCAAACACATTTTATCAACTAATTACGCGTTCTGGTTCTTGAAATAGAATCACGAATCTTCTCACATACGCGAGGATATTTTTTGAAACCCAGCTTAAAATGACGACAACGAATTGATTTCACACATTGATATTTATTCGGGGTTGCTCTTGAAGAAAACGCAAAACCTTTTGTATTGACGCGAAATGGTACTGGCTTGCACTCGAGCGCATTCAAAATGGCGCTATTTAAATCTCGCCCGTTAGAACGCAAAGAGCTTATCTGTTTAAACTAACCAACCTCCATCTTTGTCTCGTGCCTGGCTTTAAACAGAACGGAACGAAACTCTTAGGTTCAAAAAGATCGTGGCCACCACGTTTGCTTTCCCCGATACAGTTCTTGTTATCGTTTGTTATAGCCAGACATACCTTTGTTCATGTTCGCTATGAAGCGGTAGATGTGTAAATCTTCCTATGTTTAACAACATTATCACCAGTTCCCTTAATTCTGCGAAATAGGCAGTATTTTCTTAAGAATTGCTTCTTAATTTATTGAGATTGTTATTTATATATACGACCACAACGTCTGTGTGTGTGTCTCCAAATACGATGGCTTCGACGTTTACTGTCGTAATGCATTTTATGACTTTTGGCGTTTGTTTCAGATTGTTTCTTCGCTCTTTTAATACTTTTGTATAGTATGGTGTTGTGTAGTAGGTAGTGATAAGCGTAAATAGATCGTTGTATTTAGATGGTAGAACGGAGTGGGGCTTTAGTTTTGAAGGATAGACGAATTTTAGGAGGGCAATTCAGCGCATGTGGTGGAAAGTCGGGACGTTGATTAGGATACGATAGTGGTTAAAGTGCGAGGGGATTCTTGACACCAACGAATTTATGCCGACCAAAATTTTACTTAATAATATGATGGACCATTTTTACCATATACGGAAGTCATTCGTTCGTGGATAATATTTAGGCCTGTACAAGTACACCCTCAGTTATTGTTGTGCAAACTACGCCATGCGATGGACCACCCTGTATGTGCATTTACATTATTTTTAACGTTAAAAGTTGATTGTAATTAGAGATTGGACACTCCGGTCTCCGGTCGGTGCGATAAGAGGTTTATCGCTGCGTTAATCTAAGTAAAAGTAAACGTCTTATCGCCAAAGTAAGGAAATGCTTATTCTTCCGGAGACGCAGTATTTTGTTAAGGAGGAACGAAAGTGAAAACGGGACATTGATTTTAATAGAGAAGAAGACTTTAATCGAGGCTTTTCAGTCAAGTTTTTTTTGGTGTTTTGCCGTTATCGGGGGTTTTGAAGGGACAATCAGTCTTGTTTAATTGTAAAGTTTTTATAAAAGAAAGTAACCATTGATTATTTCTTATAAACTCTTTGAACTAATGAAGGTAATGTCCAACTGTTGGGGTGAGCACTTTATCCATATATTTATTAAACTCCAAAGTAAAATTTCCAGGGAGCCCATAGTAATAGAAGCAGCAATATCAAGGAAATGTGAGTGAAATAAGTGTTATGTGAAAAAGGAATTACAGATTTCCTAGCAGGAATAACTTCTAGTCATAATTACCACGTAAATGTAGGTACTAAAAAGATCGACTGACATTGCACATCCAAAAATTGAGTATGAAGGAATCATTGCCAATGGAAAATTGAACATCTATATCTATAACAATATAATTACTATAAAGCTAAATAACTATATGTCGTTCAAAATTGTTCTAGGTAAACTATCCTATTCTATAAATATTATAATTCTAACGGTAATCAAAGGGAAAGCATATGCTTTAAATTTGAAACAATTCCTTTGGTAAAACATTTTATATTTTTCGGGGCTCCTCTATTATTTCATGTAGGCTCATAACTAACTGATGTAGGATACCATTTCTCGCATTTAATATGGCGATTAAGAGTTTATTGATATTCAACTCATAATTCTCCCATAATAATGAAAATAAGTCCACAAACCTATCAATACTTCGTTTTTTCCCATATTATTGGCCATTAGCTCTGTTTTGTTGAAATATTCCAATAATTCTTGCACTTTTCTGCGGTGGATTTAAAAACATGTACCTAACGTACTTTCTAAAACTGAAGCTGGACCTTCTGCCGAATTTGAGATTTTTAATGTAGTGCTGGATCTGTCTCTCATTTGGGATGATTAATTAAGTTTTAGTATTTTATCAGATGAGTAGTGGCTTTGGAATAACAGTTGATCTGGGGACTGGAATTCACAATACTCGACAATATTCTAAGAAACTGCTGCGTCTACCTAAAGTCACTAAATCGTTTTTTCAAAAAACAGTCTTGTTCCTCGGTCCAAAATTTTGTAATTATTTTTTTAACCATTACTCTCAAAGTATATTTGAACTATCGGTTCGGGTGTTTAAGAAAAGAGCTAAGGAATTTTTATTTACTAAAACGATTACTGAGTTGGAAAACATGTATCTTATTTTAAGTTAATTTTACAGTTTGATTAATTTTGCTTGGTTTATGTTATACATCTTCATTTCCACCAATGCTTCACTAGAGATACGTTGCGTACATTTTATTGAGCTGAAAATATGTTCATTAAATTTAAATAGTTATATCTGTTGATCTCTATTTAGATTTCTATACGTGTGAATGGCGTTTGTATTATGATCTTGAATTTGCTTTTCCTCCCAGTGTTCAGAGCAATTTTATTCTCATTACTCTTACTGGTGTAGTATTATTTCACCTAGTACATTATCTTTAAGCTAAGTTTTCGTTTATTTTCGCACTGCCTTAATTTATACTTTATATAATTTTTAATTTTTTGTTGTGTTTACAGTTTTGTATCTAGGTTGGAATAAAGATTATTATTATTATTATTATTATTATTATTTGTCTTTCCCAAATTTTTATTGTAAACATCTGGCTTTGGCTTACATATACAGGGTGGTTCAGAACACCCGTCCGCCCGTTTATTAGGGACTTAAAAATGTTTAACAGATAGCTTAGGGATCTTACTGATATTGTTGTTCTTTATTGAAAATTGGATCCTCCAATCAACACTTTTGGGAGGGTAGGGGAGAAACTTTGTGATCTCTAGGAACCCACATTTTTTATTCTGAAGGCTCCTATAGATATCGTCCTTAGTGGTTGTAAAAAGGTTTTTGTATTAATTCTCAAGAAGATGATTGATCTAACTCCATGAGAATAAGGTGTTAGTAAATTGTATTCACTTTTCTATATCGTTTCATACATTAATAATATCCTGAGTAACGGTAATTAATTCCTAGCAAAATAAGAAGCTTCCGAAACACCACAGTTTAGTTGAACTCTTTGATTTTCATTAAAAAATACGTAAAATTCGAAAGAGAGGTCATTGTGGTCATTGTGTCAAGAAGCTGTAACCTTTTTGACAAATATTATATGAAACGATGAGGCAAAGTTCATTAAAAATTGAATCTTCAACGCCAACAAGTATAATAGTCATTATTAGGTAACGGAAAACCCTTTACGTAGTAAGGAAAAAAATTTTCCAAGATGTTCGGAGTTTCAATGTCTTCTGTGTAAGAGACGTAAAGACACAGATTTTTGCTGTCATTTATGAAGAAATTTTGAACTGGGTTCGATATCTCAAAATTTTGAATACAGCAACCTGTGAACGATATGCCCTTGACAATTTGCCTCTTCAACAAGGGATGAAAGCATGGTACCAGTAAGATGACGCTCCGGCCCACAATTAATAAATATTATTAAATTACCAGAAAATCACCAACTTTACTTTAGGTATAGGACAATGAATGAATCAAATGAAAATTTTGTCTAGAATTAATATCACAAATAAAAACAGGCCATTCTATTTGAAAATAGTTATTTGTACAACTAGTTTTGAAAGTGATACTTTTTTTCATGAATTTGCAGTCTGATTAATGAGGCCATCTACATAAATTTAAACAAACAATTTAGCACGATCTTAGTTACTATACTACTGCTACTCGAATCCATCCACCATCTCTTCATTTTTTTTCTTGTTATGTAGACCATCCAAATTTTGTATTAATTTTACTTTGCTAGTAAAGCACAGGTTAAGTGGAAGAGTACAAAGGACTTTAAGTCTCTTAACGAACCCCATAAGGTGGCCGGTCTAGGCGAGAAGTTCAAAATGTGATCAGAAGGGTTATTAATGCGGCTCATTTATTTTATATGAAGATCGATTACTTGAGTAAACAACAATTATCCACATAATTTTTATTAATAGTCCATTGTGGGAAGATTTACACACATAGTTATTAATTCAGATAAACCCTTAAACAGTTAGATCATAATAAAAATATCTGCTTATATACGAAACACGCCCAACTTTCATAAAATTTACATAACGTCATTTCACATTGATTTATTTAAATTACTCTCGTCTTCACCGTCGTCTTCAATCTCCTCAGCCGATTCTCGTCCCAGTCTGGGAGTATATTCTGAAAAACGAAACCGTTAGAATTGCCACCGTTTAGACGACAAAACTTCACCACCTCCAAAGTAAAGGTAAGCTGCCGGCGTGTCACCCTTGTACCTTTTTTGAACCCGACCAAGACGCGGGCCAAACCACAAGCCATTCCCGCCGCTTAAATCGCTCCTCTTATCCATTCCGTTCGGATCGGCGCCTTGAACGTACTCCAGCGTTCCCGAACGTCCAACCCCCGGGAATGTCACTATTGTGCGTCCCGATTTCGCGTGTTTGACTGGTTCTGTAACACGATCTAATTACGCCGGTCAAATTGAAATTAACGCCCTTACCGTTACTTTCATATTCGGAAAGTGTGAAGTGGGGATGTCCGGAACGTCCGGTTCGTAGAAATGGGATGATTCCGGCGTACGGTGACACTTTTGTGCGTTTCGGTCCTCTTGAAGGTTCTTCTGAAACAGATGCATTTATTATTGTTGAGGATTATGCTCGATATGACTCAAAATTGGTAATATAAACGAAAGTTGGATGAGAGCCAAGAGGACATCCATAGAAGGTAAAAACTTCAATGCCAAGAAGGAACTTTGCCATTTTTCAATTATTTAGATTGTTCAATTATTTAGATTATAAAAGCTTGAGATTTTCATACATGGCTTGCGAGTTTTCATTACTGTATTAGTCACAATGCAATATATTGTTTAACATGCTCTCTTTCCTACCTAGTAGCTCGCGAAATTGTCAACCATTATAATTTCATTTGCCTGTCAGGAAAGCATTTACGTTTTTATATAATTGTGTTTTTATTAAGGGTTTATTTCTTTTTAATTTACGGAATTTCAAAGCTCCATTTAATAAGGAATGACATTGCTAAGAATTTAATTAGTGAGTTTTTCGGCGATTTAAAATTGGATCAAAGGTGATGACTTTTTTATTAATTTAAACCGTAGCTCAAAAGATTTTCAATAATATTTTCTAGATCATTCCCGCGACTATTCATTAAAAAAAAATTAATCAGGATAGGAAATTAACACAAGAGAAAAGCCCTGTTTTCTTGCGTTAAATTTAATTTACAATTAATTTAAAGGTGTTTAAGAGTAATAAAACAAATTTAACCCTTCTTTTAACTAAATGGGGAAACCTCGAAATACTGAATTAGACAAATACGAGGGGATTATGTAGAAAGGGACTAGAAAGAAAGTTGTAGAGTTTTTCACGATCTACAACTTTTCCATTGAACACTTTTGTCTCTGATCTCAACTTTTGCCGTAAATTTCCGTCATACGATTTTCACCCTCCGTAAAAACTTAGTCCCACCTCCTGCTCACGTATTTATTTTTTTTATATTTGTTATAGACCATTTTAACGTATCAACTTGACACTAGCTCTATTAAAACAATTTTCTTTATTAATTTTCCCGCTGAACAATGCTCTATTTAGTGATGGAGATCCGTTATGCGCTCTCTGCATCGAATATTCTTTCGTTTGAGGATCTCGGTGATACACCCAGGTTTCATCGCCGGTGGAAATTGTCTGTCATGGAAAATGAAAACTCTAATTTAAAGTTGATGATAATACCCCATTCACAATTGCGCTTTCTCTTACATTTTTGTCTCAGAATCCGCAGCAAGTAAAAGGACTAAACTTTAGTTTTTTAAAATTATTTCCAAAATTTCTACTCCAAAAGGATGCAAAAACAGGGTGGTATGAGAAACAGTTCTAATTTCGACAATATTTGGTACCTATGGCTTTTCAACATACTTGCCTATACCGAATCCAAAATAAGTTGCTGAAGATGAAACAAAAAATTGATCTTTTACTGCAAAATGGTCAGATATTTATTAAATGTGGTGGGCTTGCTCTTTATTTATTTTACAACGAGACATTCGAGCAGTTCTTTTTTTCTAAAAGGAATGGGAATAATCGAACATATGCTGGGCTCGATAAAAAGTGATAGTTATAAAGAACACAAAAGGTGCTTCAAGTAATTCACTGAATATTCGAGTGAAGAATTTTTCTGATCGCATGTCTTTTTCGAATCGGAATAATTATTAGAAATCCAATGTGTGACGTCCATGTTAAAGAGAAGGTCGCAGCTACCGTGGTGTACGCATTGGTGTAAGAAGGTGCATTTATGCGCTCTCTTCATGTGATAGAAGCAGATAGAAATATTAGTTACATCAATTTCAATTAAGGGTAGTCTTGACTTAATTTTTGTAGGTAACCCATTTGTAATGTGTTTGTTTTACATATCAAAATTACTACAAAAAATTATATCATTCGGTAAACCAGATGGGAGAAGGTTGTGCCAAATTTAGTCGTGTTCGGAATTTGTCTCGTCGCTTAGGAACATTTCTGCAAAATCAAAAAGGACATATCCGAAAAATCAAAAATTTTCAATGTACGATGTTTCAGTATACATATAGATAACAGGCGTGGAAAACATTTTTCGGCTTGCTGTAATTTCAAGATATCCGCGTACGCATTAAATTACATTGACCGTTTAAGCACCTGTTTTAAGTTGTAGTCACTGATTCACCATTTAATCACGAAGCAAACAGAAACCCTGATATCAGTTCAGTTTCTAATTCGTTGCGAATCGGGCGTGTTGATATTTCCCTCTTCTGTTTGTCTTTGTTTATTGTTCAATGAATTCCTTCTATTTGAGTGAGGCGTGCGACGTGGCATTGTAAGTTTTCTTCATTATTTTGGTTCTTATAACTGTAGGACACAAAAAAGGGAATAGAATGGTGCGTCACCTCTCTTTCAGCTCAACGAAATAAGTTGTAATGAATGTGTTAGGTTGAGAAAAGGAGGTTCGGAATCGATTTTTGGAGTTTTTGTCCAGTAGTTAACGAGCGCTCAAGGAGGGCTAAGGCTCATAAACTTTGTTTTATAACATATCCACAACAACGTTGCAAGGGAGTGGTATAAGGGGACAACTTAACGCACCAAAAAAAAACAAGGTGTACCAAAATAATTATAGCCCAGACAGGTAATAAAAATTGGGTGCCGAAATACGCTTTCATGGGGTACTGATGCCGATTTTGGCGTTTCTGCCCTCAACGAACTCTGAATCTGTACTTTTTATCCAAAAAAGCTTTCATTTCCGATACGACAGAGTAGCATATTTTTCTGTTATAATCGGAGGGTTTTTCACAAAATGCCTACACCTCAGAGCACTGCAACATCCAGGTATTTTTCCCAAGTTGTGGCACCGTTTTATTAAAAATTTCTTTTTGGCTTCTACAGTAGGGGAGAGTTTGAATTTGACAGTGTAACTTAAAGGTTAAATTTAGTAACAGTGTATTTTAAATATTAAAGTGCGTGAAATTATTTAGCATGGTAGGCAATGAATTGAGATATGTGCGTGAAAAATTATGACTTACGAAGTAGGGAATGTAAAGGAAGCATTCGCTCTATAACAGCAGTTAATTTAACATGAACGTATGAACTTGGCAATTTATAAGCAACCATTACCGATACAAATTTGTGATTTAATAGCGGTTGGTCCTATAATTAATGGTTCGGCAAATTAAAAAGGTATTTTTCCAAATACCATCCTATTATTTGTAACCATCCTTTACAGTACCTACTCTTAATTTGGATTTCATTTTTTCGAATTTGTATAGATACCTATGTACAGTTTGGATTTTTTTAAAGGTTCGAGTAGTTCAAGCGTGATATATTAGAGGGTCGAATTTTCCAATAAATTATATGATTGGTGGAATTAGCGATCGGTTTTTGCTGCGTCCTGCGAATCCTACTAGTCCAGTAGGAAAGTATACCTTGAACGCCCGGACGATTCTAATAATTTTCATTGGATTCGCCATAAAAAGTTGTATTAGAATCGACAACGGTGCCGGCGAAAATCCTGCCGAAAGCAATTTAAAAAAAATTAACTTCGCCCCTTATTTTTGGAAAATGTACTTTATTGTCCCGGACGTTCAGGAAGAATACTAAAGGGTGCATATGGATGAGTTTTATCGGAAAAAGTCACGGTGCCGGGGCGCAACTTGCCGCAACCCTTGGCACCGCGACTACAAATGGGGTGGTAAATCGTACTAAACTACCTTTTTCTCCCGGACCAAAATGACCTATATGAAATATGTAGCTTGCGATTATACGAATATAAAAAACCAACGGTGCCGACTCTCAGGATGCCGGAAGTCCTCGGCACCGTCGATGGAATCCGGGCGCGCGCGAACCTATTGACATTGCGAAAATTGAAAAATTGCAAGAATTCACGTCACTTAAGTATGTATTCGGTGAAAAAATGTAACAGAGTGGATACCGCGAAATCAAATATGTCCCACAAAATTTTCTCGACGAGAAAAGATTCTGAGAAACTCGTCAAGAAAATCAGAGGATTTGATTCGTGTACCATTCCGCCTTGTAGTACAGGCAAATTGTCCAAAATAGACAAGAAAATTGCGAAGTGGTTGAAACTTGGTTTAAGACGTTTGAAAATATGTATATTTCAAGGAACCGAGGAGTCCCTAACCACAAGAGGTGTGCCGGAGTGGTCATGCTCAAAAACTGCTTCTTGGTTTGAAATCGGCATTTTAAAAAAGATTACAAATTAAAACTGCACTTTCTGAATGTAAACACAGCAGAATAATTTTCAAATTACGCTGTTATTATTATTTGATAACGCATCGTGTTTCATTTGTTTAATTTTCCAAGGCCTACCTAAGAGTGTAGGGTGCTTTTCCAAACAATCTTTCGCGCCATCGACAAATACCGGAAATACGTCAAAAGTAAATTTAAGATTCAATTTAAGCATTTTAATTAATTAATCTCATTTTCCCAATATTTGAGGTTAGGAACGAGATTTTGAAAAACGGTTTTCACTGTTCTCTTTGGATGTTATTTGGCTACTTTTTCATAAAGAAAAAGTCATATCATTCCATTTGATTTTTTTGATTTTTTTAGGATTTTGAATCATTGTGTCAAAATTAGCCCCCTGGCGGAGAAGGCCTTGGAAAATTAAACAAATGAAACACGATGCGTTATCAAATAATAATAACAGCCATAATTTGAAAATTATTCTGCTGTGTTTACATTCAGAAAGTGCAGTTTTAATTTTTAATCTTTTTTAAAATGCCGATTTCAAACCAAGAAGCAGTTTTTGAGCATGACCACTCCGGCACACCTCTTGTGGTTAGGGACTTCTCGGTTCCTTGAGATATACATATTTTCAAACGTCTTAAACCAAGTTTCAACCACTTTGCAATTTTCTTGTCTATTTTGGACAATTTGCCTGTACTACAAGGCGGAATGGTACACGAATCAAATCCTCTGATTTTCTTGACGAGTTTCTCAGAATCTTTTCTCGTCGAGAAAATTTTGTGGAACATATTTGATCTCGCGGTATCCACGCTGTTACATTTTTTCACCGAATACATACTTAAGTGACGTGAATTCTTGCAATTTTTCAATTTTCGCAATGTCA